ATCACTTAAGCTATCCTACCAATAATTTCTTGACTATTCATATACTTATTAAGTATAAAACTTTGTCCCCTGGCCTTTCAGCACTATGCAGGCTCCACATCTCACTTCACTACACTACGCAACTTCCTTACCTCTCATTTTGAGAAAATATACAAATCACATCATACATCAAAACCCCAGCAAGGAAGACACCATATGAAAGTACATACTTAGGAGGACAAATTGATGGAACGGCCCTCCACATTTCATATGTATGTTATGCATTCTCTTCCTCTCCCTTTTCCTGAGTGACTTTAAACACAAGAGAACACAGAAGACACAGGGACAAAGAAAACGTATTCCACTAGAAACAGCACTGTTAGTCAGTCATGCAGAGAAGAACTGCCTTCAGAAAAGCCATTTCAGGCATAGATAAATAGATGGATCAATATGGGAGGGCCATATCACTTGACCTAAGGCAAGAAAAAAAAATTGGGGGCATGCCTCTTTCTTAAAATATGGATCCCTATTTTTGACATCCATCAGAGAATGACTGACTTCAACAAATTTCTTAAATGACATTCCTCAGTGACTTAACTAATATAAAACAATTCTCAGTCCCTGACTCTTTTTAAAAGTAAATGCATTTTTAAAAATCCTTTTCAGTTGTAAAAGGCATAAATATTGATTTGGCAAAAATTATGCAAAGCAAAGAAATGTAGTGTAAACCATTGTATTGTGATGAAATTTACAAGCAGCTTCACTTATCCTGGGTTTACCTTCCTATAAAATAAAGCGTGCTATATTTACAAGAATTCAGAAAATTAAGATGCCCAGCTACCTACAGTTGGTGACACAAATGACATGCAGTTTAGTCCCATTCCACTTTTATTTATTGCTAAGAAGGTAGAGGGCTATTAGCACATCTTGCTGAGACCCTGGACTCCTATTGGAATTCTGGCTGGTGATGTTGCATTATGTTATATATTGCTCTATTTCCAAAGCTGGTGTAAGCTCATCATCCTGTGTGTCGTCCTTGTGTGATTTTACACATTTTAATTTTAAGTAGTGCCCCACAAAATGTATTTTGAGTTTGAGTTTGTATATGTACTTTTATTCCCCAATTGTAAGTCTGGTTTGGATTTTTGTTTTTTTTACACATACTAGATGTTGCTTATTGTCTGATGGTAATCAATTGTGAGATAATAGTCCTGCTTAGAAAGTTAGTAAAAAATGCTTTTTTATTGCTTATACAGTTCCACTTCAAAATGTGCCTGTGTAAAACAGATTTTTTTTTAAATCAGTTCAGGTATACAATACACAGTTTATTTGCACATTGTTAAAGTGCATAGAAAGATAGTATATTATTTATTTAGTATGCCACGTGTTTGTTTATTTGAGCCATTGGTTATGCAGGTATTTATTTTAATGAAAAAAATAGTTTAGTCAAATTACAATGGCTAATCATAATGCATTTATTCTGATCACTTAAACCTTTAATTTTGTGTGAATAAAGTCCAATATGGAATTCACATGGTAATTTGCAGTCTGCCTTATGTGCACTGCATGACAATTACAAACTATCATTAAAAAATGTTCCTTCAATTAAGCCAAAACAGTGCCAGTCAGAAATCACTCGATCTTGTGTGCATATTGTTATTTTAATTACTTATAAGAATGCAACAGTTATTCAAAGGGTTAATTAATTGTTAAGAAATTTTATTAAGCTTAATCATCATTTGTATTTGGACTTTCTTTTGCCATTTCCTGAATTTAGGCTTATATGTGGAAAGCAGCCTCAATAGATATATAATAAATCATATTTCTATTTGTGTAAAAATGACAGAGAAAATATTTTGAGACAGTAACAGATAGCTAAAGATTCCTATAAACCCCTTAAAATCCACCATATCACAAAAAAATATTTTACAAAATGTCACAAGGAGCTTCCTTTGTTGCCTTAACCTTGAATTAGAATGTACATTAAATTGAAGGAAGGGAAAATAGTGTTTTCCCATCTTTTTTTTTTATCTTGATTTATACTGTATAAAAGCAGCTGTAAGTTTGGGCCCTTCGTTTTTTACATATTTTGAATTAAACATAAGCTTTTCCATACATTCAACAATTAGTAATTGCAAAGCTGTGATCAGAACATGTAAAGCTAAAATCATGTTTTAGTGTTTCTTTATTCTAGACTAGAAGCCATAAATGCATTAATATTGTTTTTCTCGTTTGACTTGATTTTTCATTAAGTATTTCAGTGTTTCATAAGTATAAATTGCTGTGAAAGACAGCTACTATGTCAAAGCAAAGTTTGCGTTCAAGGTAAGGTAGGATTTTCCAGCTCCACTGAACCATTACTGCTGAAACTGTTGTGGAAATTGTGAAGCTGCATGAATGGAGAGTTATTGACTCAGTGTTTATGGTAGTTTTTCTCAGGTTTAGTTTTAACTGGACATTAATTGCCCTGTGTGTTTTATTAAATTTTAGTAACGCTTTCAGTTCAATGCAGTGTTACGTGTCATTGGCATTTTGTGAATGTGCATGTTTTGAACTGCAAATTTTTAATGTTTTGTCTTTTAATTGTTATTATAAAATTGAATAAACTTTGCCATTAAATAAAAAAGACTTTGAAGGTTTTGGTTGCAAGTGCTACAAGTTAAGTTCAAAGGAAAACTTTTTCACATTTCATTATTTCTATTTTAATCAATTGAAATGAGGCATACTGGAAATAAAATCGCTTTCAGACTAGTACCCAAACACTTTTGTATTACTCTAGCAAATGGAGAAAATAGTGAAGTATTTTACAACTTTTAATAAATATGATTGTTTGCAGAGGCCCACTCATGGTCCCATTGAAGTCAATGAGGAGTTTGCTTTAAACATTGAAAGGGGACCATGGAAGATTACAACTAACCCAGTGAGATGCAGTCTGAGGATACTCATGGTAAAGAACAGGAAGAGCATCCTTTCAAACAGGAAAGCTTTTCAGTGGAGGAGCCAAGGAAGAGACTGATTAAAAGGGAGTCTTGTTGGATTTTCAGAGGGCTTGGTGTTAAAGGTCCATCATCCACTGTCACTGCCAAAAGATGTTTCTCCCTTAATGGTATGCATCACCTGAATAAGAGTGGGAGTATCCAGGCCAGAATTGAAGTGTGGTTGTAGACAGGTATTAACTCCTTATGTACATGGAGTTAATTTCAAAAGTGACAGGGGATGTAAGTTGATCAGAAAAGAGTATTAAAGTGACAAATTATTTAAAAATGCACATATTTTGCAGTTAGTGTGCAAAATAAGTTTAACACAGACTGATTTGGTATTCTTTCAGGGGCCTACTTAGTGAGCAGATGAAACTCTCACTGAAGTCAGTGAATCCAAATCTGAGCCCTTACTACACTGTAAACACAGAATATTCCTGTTCAAGTCAACTGACTGACTCCAGATTTCCACAAGAGAAATTGGAAGCAGAATTTGGCCCAATATTCTTAATATTGCTGTCAAGTTATAGATACTAGCAAGAAGTATAGCAAGAACTCAGGACTGGCCCGGGGGGGGGGGGGGCCAAGTGGGGAAATTTGGCCCCAGGCCTCGGGCCCCATGGGGCCCCCACGAGTATGTCGGAGGCTCCCCCTTCCTCCATCTTCCCCCATCCCCTGGCGTCTCAGCTGGTAAGGGG